GAAGGCACCACGTTTATTACAACACTCCGACAGGGTAACTACACAAACCTACGGGATAACGACAAAGGTGGTAGCTAACTTCCACTAGAGCAGCGGTCGGGAACCTATGGCTCGCGAGCCATATATGGCTCTTCCAGTGACGGCATATGGCTCCCAGACATTTTTGAGTTGAAAAAAAAAATCTGTTTGGAACTGATTTTAAAATACTTGTGATATTGCTTAATAATACTGTGTCATTTTAAAGTAAACAGAAATTAGTTTTGAAGATACATTTCACGGGTCACGCCTGCACGAAGCTCAACCTCACCAAGTCGTATGAACCAGACTACAAGGCCATCAGCAAAACCACGCAGCACCAGAAGTCGCATTAAAAGTAAGACATATTTAATTTATTATACGTTAAAAATTACTATATGGCTCTCAATGAAATATATTTTGAAATACAGTAAAACCTTGGATTTCGAGCATAATTCGTTCCCGAAACGTGTTTGTAATCCAAAGCACTCGTATATCAGTTGTGATCACGTGACGCTCGGCAGACGTATACACGTACTGCTCGTATTGCAAGACCTCGCTCGTTTATCAAATTAATATTTATTTAACAATTTTGCTCGTCTTGCAAAACACTCGCAGACCAAGTTACTCGCAATCCAAGGTTTTACTGTATTTGGCTTTTATGGCTCTCCCAGTCAAAAAGGTTCCCAACCCCTGGTCTAACGACTAAACCACAACGGGCAACTACATAACCGGGTCAGGTCAGCAACGCGCTGCCTGACCCACGGTGCCGGACGTGACGACCGGAGACCGAGGAGACGTCGCACGGCAGGTAGATTCTAGAAGACAGCCTGGATCGGCGCTCGGACTTCCTTTTTATGCCCCTGAGCGTGGCCTGGTCCCGTCCTAGGCCACGCCCTCTTCTAGATCCTACTAGAGGGTTCTGGGTCTTGTCACGTGCCCCTCTCGCCACCCATTGGCCCCCCTCGCTACCCTCTCCTGGTCACGTGCCCTCTCGGGTTTACCCAGACTGTCACGTCCTGAAGTGTCCTCTCTCTGGCCGTCACTAGAAGCATGTCCCCTAGGGCTCGCTTCTACGCCACACACGCTCTGGTGCCAGAGAGAGACGCCAACATGCACAGTGCCACTCTTGTTCCAATAGCTGGCGCTGGTACACGCTAGATGCCATAGTGACTCAATATACATCACTACATATATATAAATACATAACGTGTTTCAGTTAAAATTGCATAAGAACATAAGTTCCTGCAGATATTTTCAACAGTAAATGCAAGATTTTAAGCTTTCGTGACTGCAAGGATTCATACTGTTAGGTTTTTTTCGGTAAAGTCACGTAGGTAAAAAATTAAATTTAATTTAATAAAAGTAATAATAGAAATAAAATAAAATAATAAATCACCATTATTTTATTTTATTTATATTATTACTTTTATTAATTGTTATGTTATGTTTTACCTACGTGACTTTACCGGAAAAACCTAAGAGTAGTAAATGCAAGCTTGAGGCAAGGCAGCAAACACAACAACAACCACAACAGTCCCACGCCACACCAAATACAACAACAACAGTCCCACACCAAGACAACAACAACAACAGTGCCAGACCACACCAAGACACGCAAGAGAGCAGAAGTGTAAGCATCACATCTACGCCTCTGTATAAGGAATAAAACAGGAGGATTTACTCCACAAATCTGGCTGTCGCCTGATGAAGCTGGTTGTAATTACTGGCGAAACGTCGTAACTCAGATTGTAAATGTTGTGGCTTGGCTCTCCAACACACAACCGGTAGTGCTGTACTAGTACACTACACTATACACTACACACTACACTACTATACACTACACTACTATACACTACACTATACACTACACTATACACTACACTACTATACACTACACTACTATACACTACACTATACACTACTATACACTACACTATACACTACACTATACACTACACTATACACTACACTACACACTACACTATACACTACTATACACTACACTATACACTACACTACTATACACTACACTACACACTACACTATACACTACTATACACTACACTATACACTACTATACACTACACTACTATACACTACACTATACACTACACTATACACTACACTACTATACACTACACTACTATACACTACACTATACACTACTATACACTACACTATACACTACACTATACACTACACTACACTACACTACACACTACACTACACTACTATACACTACACTATACACTACACTACTATACACTACACTACACACTACACTATACACTACTATACACTACACTATACACTACTATACACTACACTATACACTACACTACTATACACTACACTATACACTACACTACTATACACTACACTATACACTACACTATACACTACACTATACACTACACTACTATACACTACACTATACACTACACTACTATACACTACACTATACACTACACTACTATACACTACACTATACACTACACTACTATACACTACACTACACACTACACTATACACTACTATACACTACACTATACACTACTATACACTACACTATTCACTACACTACACACTAGTGCTGTACTAGTGACGAATTGGCCACGTTCTGTTTACGTGACAACCCTCACTAGTTGGCTGTGTTCGGTAGTGGCGGGTTTTAACGACACATTTAAATATTTACGCGATCTCACCCAAAAAAAACCTCGAGTATGGAAACAAATAATGTAATAAGACATCAATGAAGGAAATACATTGCGACAAAAACCGAAACGACTATACAACAATCGCGTTATGGGAAGCAATGGGGGAAAAAACGCCGCGCAAACATTAAACCAAATTTAAAATGAATTAAAATCTATTTCCTGTCGGTTAAGTTGAGGTCGGAAAAAAATATATAAAAAATAAAATAAATAAAAGGACGTTGCATAGCGCCATAGGGGCCGTCCATAAATGACGTCACGCACCTAGGGGTGGCTGGGGGGGTCAGACATTTGTGACGATGGGTGACGAGGAAGGGGGGTTAAGAAAAATGACGTCACATCAAAATGCGCAACTTTAAATAAATATAGACAACACGTTCTGCTTAATTAAATAGACTTTCAAATAAATGTTTTCTCCTACAACATCAGAGTGCAGCGCCGCATTAAATACGCACTACAATGACAATAGTTTAAAGCGATTTGAAGCATGTTTTTTGGGGGGGGGCAGAGCTTTGGGACGTCATATTTGAGGGGGGGTCTGACTTTTTGTGACGCCGTGTGACGAAGGGAGGGGGTGGGTCAAACATCGTCCCAAATCGCGTGACGTCATTTATGGACGGCCCCATAGACGTCATGGTACACCGACAACGATGGATGTATATAAGGGAACCTTTTTGGCCAGTATCCAGTATGATGAAAAATGAGAATTAAAAAAATTAACCCGTAAAAACAAAGTTTTTCACTATAAATCCTTTATATGCGTGGCGGCTAGAGTCCTCTCGTCCTCTGGCTTGAGATGGCTGTCACCTATGGGTCAGATGATTGCCTGGCAGCATTAAGCAATTGGTAATTAAATATTTTAAAAAAAATCCTAAAAAGTGTAAAATTTTGCAAACAAAAATTTCACGAAAATTAATTGTCACGCACAACGAGTCTGTGTGGAAAATGTCAGCTCGATTGGATCACGGGAAGTGGGTTAAAAAACTACCGAAAGATTTGCACGGTCGTAAGCGCGCAAGCAAGCAAGCGAACTTAATATAAAGGATTTAATAAAGGATTCAAATAAAAAACGACCGAAAGATTTGCACGGTCGTAAGCGCGCAAGCAAGCAAGCGAACTTAATATAAAGGATTTAAAAACGCGGGTTTTATCCTTCTCTGGCAATACAACGGGAAGCTGTGTTAAAGATGTGCAAACACCAAATTAACGCCTTTTGCAAGGCATCATCAAGGCTGCATTAACCAACACACTCGTACTTGTGTTTTTATCTCTCATGAAGGTTAAAACCTTTTAAGAGATGTTAACTACCTCGCCCGGTACGCAGGAGGTCGTGGGTTTAATCCCGACCCTGACGCCTGCTGCATATTTGGAGTCTGCGTGTCTCTCTCATCATCATCACGGTGGCTAGGAGATGTTAACTCCCTCGCCCGGTATACAGGAGGTCGTGGGTTCAATCCCGACCCTGACATCTGCTGTGTGTTTGGAGTTTGCGTGTCTCTCTCATCATCATCACGGTGGCTAGGAGATGTTAACTCCCTCGCCCGGTATACAGGAGGTCGTGGGTTTAATCCCGACCCTGACGCCGCCTGCTGCTGTATATTTGGAGTTTGCGTGTCTCTCTCCCCGTGGTAGCTTGGATTTGTCTCCGGGTCCTCCAGTTTTTCACTCCACATTGAGAATTAACGTCACGCCTTTAACGTATTTGGCTGAATTTCGATTTAAAGCTTTCGTGACTGCAGGGATTCATCTTCTTGGTTCTTTCAGTAAAGTCACGTAGAAGGGAAGTAATAAAATAATAAAAATAAAACAATAAAATAATTCTCACGACGTTTCGGCCACAACGCAAGCAGCCGTCCTCAGGTGAAACCAGGTCTGTCAGACGCTGTCGCCTCGACAGACCTGGTTTCACCTGAGGACGGCTGCTTGCGTTGTGGCCGAAACGTCGTGAGAATTATTGTATTATGTTTTATTTTAATTATTTTATTACTTCCCTTCTACGTGACTTTACCGAAAGAACCAAGAATACGTATTTGGCTGCTTTAAATGTCCACGTGATGATGCCGATGATGATAAGCCACTCCGTTGAGTTGTCATGCGTGACAGGCAGGTGCGGTTCTAAAAAAAATCTACGTATCTCAGTGGGACCTTACCTGGTAAAAACAAAAAAAGTTTCGTTTTAGTTTGTTAATTGATTAGTTCAAAGACTCGCAGGGTGCCACGGGAAGAAAGTCAGAAGGGGTTGCACGGAGCGCTGGCCAAACTGCGTGCGTGGCGCAACATCCTGTGACAGAACTTTCATGACTCTGCGTGTTTCATCACCGCCACCATCAGCACCACCGCCGTCACCACCACCACCACCACCGTCACCACCGCCGTCACCACCACCACCGTCACGTTCTGCTTCACAGCTTCACGCGGAAACAACTCGTTCCATCACTCTCTCTCTCCTGCCTCTCTCGTCTCACTCTCTCTCCTCGACTCGCAGAAGAAGAGGTAAGTCCAAACATTTGATACCTCCATAAAATGTGACAACGTTATTATGTATGGTAATATCGTTACGTGTCTATGCAGTCCGTTCTCATGTAATGCTGTTCGTGGTGGTATTCGCGTTCCTGAAGAACAGCGCGTTTTGCTGTGAAACATCGCGTTATAATAAATAATGTATAATTATAGGTGAGGATAAAGCACAAGTCTGTTCTTCTATAATGCGATGGTGGTGGTGTAGTAGTCGTCGCGTTCCTGAAGAACATTGCGTTATGGTAAAAAAAAAATCGCTTTATAAAAAAAATAGTAAATAATTATATCTATACCAGCGGGAAGTACCCGGCGTTGCCCGGGCGAAAAATATATTTCAAAACTTCTCTCTTAAAAACCTTACATATACATACACAGATGCTAAGCTATTGTGAAAGCCAGGTGGGCCGTTTGTCCATTTCTCCACCAACAAAATCATAAGAGGCTTGCACAAGTCCAAAAAGTTATAGAAAGTGGAGGGTAAATAGTTGACCTAAAAGGTTTCCGAAAATTGTCGACCCCCCCCCCTCCTCAAAAAATATATTTATCCCCGCGTAGGTATACATACCTACACACCCTACAAACAACAGAGTAAGTAGTATCTATTGACTCTGTAGTAGTATCTACTGAGCCAGTAGTAGCTACTGACTGTGTAGTAGTATTTAGTGACTTTAGTAACGACGGACCGTAGTATCATTTACTGGCCCTACAGTAGTATCTACCGACTCTATAGTAGTACTGACTAACTGTATAGTAGTATCTGCTGACTCTATAGTAGTAACTACTAACTCCATAGTAGTATCTACTCACTCTATAGTAGTATCTACTGACTCTAGTAGCTACTGGCCGTAGTAGTATCTACCGACTCTATAATAGTACTGACTAACTGTGTAGAAGTATCTGCTGACTCTATAGTAGTATCCACTGACTATAGTAGTATCTACTAACTCTATAGCAGTATCTACTCACTCTATAGTAGTATCTACTGACTCTAGTAGCTACTGACCGTAGTAGTATCTACTGACTGTATCTACTGACTGTAGCAGTATTTACTGACTGTAGTGGTATATACTGACTGTTTTAGTATCTACTAACTCTATATAGCAGTATCTACCAACTCGATAGCAGTATCTACTATCACTACAGCAGTGCATACCGACTGTGGTGGTACCTGCTATCACTACAGCAGTGCATACCGACTGTGTTGGTACCTGCTATGATTATAGCAGTGCATACTGACTGTGGTGGTGCCTGCTATCACTACAGCAGTGCATACCGACTGTGTTGGTACCTGCTATCACTACAGCAGTGCATACCGACTGTGTTGGTACCTGCTATGATTATAGCAGTGCATACCAACTATGGTGGTACCTGCTTTCACTCCAGCAGTTGATTCTGACTGCGGTGGTACCTACTATCACTACAGCAGTGCATACTGACTGTGGTGGTACCTGCTATGATTACAGCAGTGCATACTGTGGTGGTACCTGCTATGATAACAGCAGTGCATACTGACTGTGGTGGTACCTGCTATCACTACAGCAGTGCATACTGACTGTGGTGGTACCTGCTATCACTACAGCAGTGCATACCAACTATGGTGGTACCTGCTATCACTACAGCAGTGAATACTGACTGTGGTGGCGCCTGCTATGATTAAAGCAGTGCATACTGTGGTGGTACCTGGTTCCATTACATTAGTGCATACCGACTGTGGTGGTAACTGTATGATTACAGCAGTACATACTGACTGTGGTGGTACCTCCTATCACTACAGTAGTATATGCCGTGGTGAGGCCTAGTCCCGTGCAGAGCCCTCGGCCTACAATAATACTCTCTAAGCACTATAATATGAGTATCTACCGACCCTATAGTAGTACGTGCACACATTGGCGTGGGGGGAGAGCGAAGAGGACATGACACTTTAATGAATTTACCTCAGCGTTGCGTGTATTTTTTTGCATTTTGAACGCAAGGGAGAAATCCCTCCCCCCCCACCATCCACCGATGATGCGCGTGCATTGCCAGCGGCAACCCCCGTGCAGCTTGGGCGGATAAATAAATAAATATATATCGCACACAAAACGCTAATTTCACTAATTTGTTGACGGATGGCAAAACGGAATAGCCTATGCCAAGCACAGGGCTTACGGCGTGGTACCTGGCTAATTTTTTTTCACGTAAACCCCACGGTTTGCGAGCCAAATCCTTCGCAAGTGTGCGTAAGCAGACAGACAGACGGACAGACGGACAGACGGACAGACGGACAGACAAAAAAATGCCTTTTATAGGTTAGAAGACTAGCTTTACTACCCGGCATCGTCCGAGACTTGGATTCTTGTCTTGGATTAATACACGGCCTACGCGGAGGGTGGTGGGGGGATGCGTGACGATCGCTTGTATTGTGATGGAAACGTCGTAGCTTTTTGTTTATTTTATTTTTATTTATTTGAACCTATCTACGTGACTTTACTGAAAGACCCAAAGAATAGTCTGCTGTATGTTCAGGTTTTGCCATGGGAAATAGTCGAATAAACCACCCACTCTCTGTGGTGCTATAAACGAGAGGGGAGCCACACCAATGCTTTTAAACACTAGCTCACTGAAAACAATTGCTTAAGGGCTCTTTTATAAAGTATTATTACTTTTGTTATTTTCTGCGTTCATTGTGTTAAACCCACTTTGAAAGTGGATACTTGCGTCTGATTTTCAGGAAGGTTGAAACAAAAATGGCCGACAACAATGGCGTCGGCAGCACTCGGCCTGAGCAGCAGGGCGCAGGCTCCGTGTTCCTTCCGAGCCTGAACTTCTCCTACCTACGTTCACTCCTCGGCACAATTGCTCTGGGCGAATTGGTGAGAGGTTTTTTTCACCTGTGCGTGTGTTTGTGTGTGTGTGTGCGAGTGAGTGAGTAAGTGGATGCATGCCCCCCCTAAATTGGTTGAGAAGCACTCCATGAGACACTTCAGCACTCAGGCATTTACTAATGATGTGCTTCACTCGGATATTGACAAGGTCTGTGATATTCCAAACCTGACTACGGCTTGGGAGACCTTCAGGTACACGTTTCTCCAAATTCTTAACAAACATGCTCCGTTGGTTAAATTTAAAACTAAAGGCAACCGTCCACCATGGTTTAATCCTTTCATTACAAATCTCATGAAAACTAGGGACAAGGCTTGGGCATGTGCTCAGAAAAGTAATTTGGTCAATGACTGGCTAGAATACAGGATTTTAAGGAATAGATGCGTAAAAAAAATACGGCATGCAAAAAATAACTACTTCTCTTCCACTCTCCTTGAATCTCATGGAAATGCCAGGATTTTCTGGAAAACAATCAAATGTATCGAAAAGGCATCCAAAACAGATCATCTGCCCGTTCAGCTTAACCGAAATGGGGAATATTTTTCAGATCCCCAAAAAATAGTTGACAATTTTAACCTTCATTTTTCTGAAGCTGGTACCCTATTTGATAATGTATTGGGAGTCACCCCTGCTCATGCAAATTCCTACACTCCTGTCCAAACATTAAGCGAATTTAGTTTTCAGCCAATCCACGAAAGTAATGTTCTGAAACAACTGTCCTACCTCAAAGGGTCCTCCTCTACCAGAGCAGATAGTATTCCCGTCTTTGCTCTACTAACTGTTGGTCACCTAATATACAAACCTATAGCCCATATTTTCAACCTGTCCATCAAAGAAGCATCAGTTCCTCTAGAATGGAAACATTCCTATGTTCGTCCACTTCACAAAGGGGGCCCTAAAGATGATCCAAATAACTACCGACCTATCTCAATTTTGTCCCCGTTGATGAAAATTTTTGAAAAATTATTGACCTACCAAATTAGCAGTTTCCTGTCCGCCAACAATCTATTACATCTAAAACAATCTGGGTTCCGAAAAAAATACAGCACCACATCTGCTGCATTAGACTCTCTGAATCACATTTACAGTAGCCTTGATAATAAGCAGTACTGCGCCTGTCTTTTTCTTGACTTGTCCAAAGCTTTTGATACAGTAGACCACAACATCCTGCTTAGTAAAATAAGTTGCCTCGGTTTTTCCGAAAACACAGTAAAATGGTTAAAAAATTACCTCTTTTCTCGCACCCAAACTGTATTCACAGATGGTTGGAGGTCAAACAGTGTTAAGATAACAAAAGGGGTTCCACAGGGTTCCATTCTCGGCCCCCTCTTGTTCTCTCTTTATGTAAATGACTTGGGCACTGAACTGGATTATTCCAGGGTAAATCTTTTTGCAGATGACACGGTACTAATTACTGCTGGCCGCTCTCCGGATGACGTGATTGCTAAGCTCCAGAGTGATTTCAACAAACTACAACATCAGCTAGTTGCTCTTAAACTAGTCCTAAATCCTGCCAAAACCAAGGTGCTATGCTTCTCACCAGGACTAAAGCGGGAAGTTATTTTTCCCCAATTACATACCTTAAATAATGATCAAATAGAGCAAGTCAAGATCTATAAGTATCTTGGGGTCATCCTGGATTCAAAACTGAATTTTGAAGATCACATTGATTATATTGGGAAAAAGACAAAAATTAAAATTGGTTTTCTATATCGACACAAGCACTGCTTCCCTCCTATGTTCCGTTTGGAATTGATTAAAGCTACCGTACTGCCTCTACTTGATTACTGTGACATTGTGTATAAATCAGCCCCAAGTACTGTACTGAAGAAGCTTGACTCAATGTATCACTCGGCCTTAAGATTTGCATTGAACTGCCCATATAGGACTCACCACTGTGATCTCTACATTGGGTCAAACTTAACATCTCTGAATGTTCGACGGCTTGTGCACCAGATCTTATTTATTCATGATGTACTTGCAAAAAAATCTGCAGATTACCTGCTGGATCTTGTCTCTGTTTCAAAGAACAAATTTGACCTAAGGTCTACACTCATTTACCAGCTTAATATTCCCTATTGCCGTACATATACTGGAGGAAGGGCCTTTGCTATTGATGCCCCCAGGGTCTGGAATGCTGTTGCAAATAAATTGAAACTTGAGTCACTACCTATGAGATCTTCACTCAAAACTGCTTTAGAGGAGTTGTACACCCCTAGCTGCCAGTGCTATTCAGTGACCTAAAATAAAATGTTTCGCTCCGGATGATCGCTACAAAGTATGACCTGTGTTTTGATTTAGTGTGCTGATCTTAAAGGTGCATTGAAAAATTACAATACTCCGATTGATGCTCCTGCTGTTGTGGAGTGACTCATGCAGCCAGCTATGGCTGCAGGGTTTTGGTAGTACATGTTGTTTATGCCATTTATTGTGAAAATTCCGTCAGTTCCTATGATTGCTTTTTCATTGCCTTCATGGCTTTATTTTGGTGATTTCGAAAAGTGTATTGGTTTAGCCATGTTTGTGTTGTTGTAGTACAGAGTTAGACTGATGGCCTTAATCTAAGTTGTCTTGTGGTTGTTGTTGTTTGACTTGCATCCCACTGGGATTTTTGCACACAGCGTTGGTGTACGGTGTTTTTTCTGCAATATTTTTGCTGTCTTTTCTTGGATTTTCTGTTTGCACTTAGTCACATATTCACTTTAAGATGTTTTTTTGTTCATGTTTTTGTTTTTTGTTTGTTGCGGTTGCACCCGATTCAAGAGCTGAATGGCTCACAGGGCTCTACCTAATACATGAACTTGAACTTGATGCGCGTGTGTATGGGACCGAGCGTGTAAAAGTGAGTGCGTGTGTGTGTATATAGGAGTGGAGCCAGTAGTGTTGGCCGGATAGATGGGAGCTAAACGGGCATTGCACGGGCTGGAGAGGAGATGGAGCTGATGCGGTACGGGAAGATGTGGAGCTAAATGGACTTGCTGAAGACTAGTACCAGCGGTGTCAAGATCGGCCTCTATGGAGGAGGCTCGTGAAGGATGCTCCAAGGCAATTGAAGGCAGTCGCCCTCCAACAACAATGGAGGGCAGAGGGACGACGCTCACAACAGAGCAAGCTGATGGCATAGTAAGGGGGCACAGCTGGTGCATTTGGTCAACCTATGGCAACTGCTGGGTCTGTCCCGTGACCTTTTGCCAATGGTCGTTCGACACTTCACGTGGCCTTAAAGTGCGCATAGCTTGGCGCAGCCGCTGTGTTGATATCACCGCCAATTAGTGGGGAATGGCAGTTGTTGTAAAAGAGCATAGTAGTAAGTGTAGTGGTGTGCTCCTAACCGGGCGAACCGATTCCCTGCTCATGGCCACTAACACCAGTGACAATAATCTGAACCGGTCATAGGCCTCTCCTAGGTCGACTCAGCTTCATATGAGTAAGTGGTTCTTTGTCTTTTTGTGTGTGTGTATGTACCATTCCAGCCTTCATAGGTGCTCGCTAACAACACTTGCCCCCAAAAGTCTTTTACAGATTAACACATAGGCTTTCCGAAGCAATGTTATCCTAATAGAGGTTTTTTGGGTTAGATCGCGTAAATGTAAATGTGCCGTTAAACCCACCAACACTCGACACAGTAATTACTAGCGAAACCTCGTACTTGAATTGTAATGTTGTGGGTTTTCTCTCCAACACGCCGGTTAGTGCCGAACTCAGAAATAATTGGCATGATTTGCTTACGTGACAAACCTTACTAAGTGGCTATGTCAGGTGGTGGCGGGTTTAACGACATTCATATATACACTATCTAATGCAAAAACAAACCTTTACTATGGATAGTCTAAATTTCGATTTAAAGCTTTCGTGACTGCAGGGATTCATCTTCTTGGTTCTTTCGGTAAAGTCATTCTACGTGACTTTACCCGAAAGAACCAAGAATATGGATAGTCTGTTACAGGCCATACAACGGTGGGGGAAAACTTCGTGTTGTTTGTCCACCGCTATCGTCCAGATATGCGGACTGCTGGCATGGTCCCTCGTCGCCTCCACCCCCTACTCGGTCTTCGCCGCCTACAAGTGGGTGCTGTTCGTGACCGTCTTCTGCTGGGTCGTGACGTTGCTCCTCGTTGCCTACCAGTCGTTCGCCTTGCCCGTGCACTGCCTCAGCGTGTCCTGGCCATTGTTTGTGAGTTACATGCAGTCCTCGACTTGCGAACAACACCACTCGCGTTTACGAACACCACCCGCACTTACGAACAACATTCACACTTACGAACACCACCCGCACTTACGAACACCATTCACACTTACGAACACCACCCACACTTACAAACACCACTCGCGTTTACGAACACCACCCGCACTTACGAACACCACCCGCACTTACGAACACCACCCGCACTTACGAACACCACCCGCACTTACGAACACCACTCGCACTTACGAACACCACCCGCACTTACGAACACCACCCGCACTTACGAACACCACTCGCACTTACGAACACCACCCACACTTACGAACACCACTCGCACTTACGAACACCATTCACACTTACGAACACCACCCGCACTTACGAACACCACCCTCACTTACGAACACCACCCGCACTTACGAACACCATTCACACTTACGAACACCACTCGCACTTACGAACACCATTCACACTTACGAACACCACTTTCACTTACGAACACCACTCGCACTTACGAACACCATTCACACTTACGAACACCACCCGCACTTACGAACACCATTCACACTTACGAACACCACTCGCACTTACGAACACCACCCGCACTTACGAACACAACCCGCACTTACGAACACCACCCGCACTTACGAACACCATTCGCACTTACAAACACCACTCGCACTTACGAACACCACTCACACTTACGAACACCATTCGCACTTACGAACACCACCCGCACTTACGAACACCACTCACACTTACGAACACCACCCGCACTTACGAACACCACCCGCACTTACGAACACCACCCGCACTTATGAACACCATCCGCACTTATGAACACCACCCGCACTTACGAACACCACCCGCACTTACGAACACCACCCGCACTTACGAACACCACCCGCACTTACGAACACCACCCGCACTTACGAACACCACTCGCACTTATGAACACCACCCGCACTTATGAACACCACCCGCACTTACGAACACCACCCGTACTTACGAACACCACCCGCACTTACGAACACCACCCGCACTTACGAACACCACCCGCACTTACGAACACCTCCCTCACTTACGAACACCACCCGCACTTACGAACACCACCCGCACTTACGAACACCACTCGCACTTACGAACACCACCCTCACTTATGAACACCACCCGCACTTATGAACACCATTCACACTTACGAACACCACTCGCACTTACGAACACCACCCTCACTTATGAACACCACCCGCACTTACGAACACCATTCACACTTACGAACACCACTCGCACTTACGAACACCTCCCTCACTTACGAACACCACCCGCACTTACGAACACCACCCGCACTTACGAACACCACTCGCACTTACGAACACCACCCTCACTTATGAACACCACCCGCACTTACGAACACCACCCGCACTTACGAACACCACTCGCACTTACGAACACCACCCACACTTACGAACACCACCCGCACTTACGAACACCACCCGCACTTACGAACACCACCCGCACTTACGAACACCATTCACACTTACGAACACCACTCGCACTTACGAACACCACCCGCACTTACGAACACAACCCGCACTTACGAACACCACCCGCACTTACGAACACCATTCGCACTTACAAACACCACTCGCACTTACGAACACCACTCACACTTACGAACACCATTCGCACTTACGAACACCACCCGCACTTACGAACACCACTCACACTTACGAACACCACCCGCACTTACGAACACCACCCGCACTTACGAACACCACCCGCACTTATGAACACCATCCGCACTTATGAACACCACCCGCACTTACGAACACCACCCGCACTTACGAACACCACCCGCACTTACGAACACCACCCGCACTTACGAACACCACCCGCACTTACGAACACCACTCGCACTTATGAACACCACCCGCACTTATGAACACCACCCGCACTTACGAACACCACCCGTACTTACGAACACCACCCGCACTTACGAACACCACCCGCACTTACGAACACCACCCGCACTTACGAACACCTCCCTCACTTACGAACACCACCCGCACTTACGAACACCACCCGCACTTACGAACACCACTCGCACTTACGAACACCACCCTCACTTATGAACACCACCCGCACTTATGAACACCATTCACACTTACGAACACCACTCGCACTTACGAACACCACCCTCACTTATGAACACCACCCGCACTTACGAACACCATTCACACTTACGAACACCACTCGCACTTACGAACACCTCCCTCACTTACGAACACCACCCGCACTTACGAACACCACCCGCACTTACGAACACCACTCGCACTTACGAACACCACCCTCACTTATGAACACCACCCGCACTTATGAACACCACCCGCACTTACGAACACCACTCGCACTTACGAACACCACCCGCACTTACGAACACCACCCGCACTTACGAACACCACCCGCACTTACGAACACCACCCGCACTTACGAACACCACTCACACTTACGAACACCATTCACACTTACGAACACCACCCGCACTTACGAACACCATCCGCACTTACGAACACCACTCACACTTATGAACACCACCCTCACTTACGAACACCATTCACACTTACGAACACCACCCACACTTACGAACACTACCCACACTTACGAACACCACTCGCACTTACGAACACCATTCACACTTACGAACACCACCCGCACTTACGAACACCACCCTCACTTACGAACACCACCCGCACTTACGAACACCATTCACACTTACGAACACCACTCGCACTTACGAACACCATTCACACTTACGAACACCACTTTCACTTACGAACACCACTCGCACTTACGAACACCATTCACACTTACGAACACCACCCGCACTTACGAACACCACTCGCACTTACGAACACCATTCACACTTACGAACAACACCCTCACTTATGAACACCACCCGCACTTACGAACACCATTCACACTTACGAACACCACCCTCACTTACGAACACCACTCGCACTTACGAACACCATTCACACTTACGAACACCATATACACTTACGAACACCATCCGCACTTACGAACACCACTCGCACTTACGAACACCATTCACACTTACGAACACCATTCACACTTACGAACACCACCCTCACTTACGAACACCACTCGTACTTACGAACACCATTCACACTTACGAACACCATTCACACTTACGAACACCACCCGCACTTACGAACACCACTCGCACTTACGAACACCATTCACACTTATGAACACCACTCGCACTTACGAACACCACTCGCACTTATGAACACCACTCGCACTTACGAACACCACTCGCACTTACGAACACCACTCGCACTTACGAACACCACTCGCACTTACGAACACCACTCGCACTTACGAACACCACTCGCACTTATGAACACCAATCGCACTTATGAACACCACTCGCACTTACGAACACCACTCGCACTTATGATCACCACTCGCACTTACGAACACCACCCGCACTTACGAACACCATCCGCACTTACGAACACCACCCGCACTTACGAACACCATCCGCACTTACGAACACCACCCGCATTTACGAACACCATCCGCACTTACGAACACCATCCGCACTTACGAACACCATCCGCACTTACGAACACCACCCGCACTTACGAACACCACCCGCACTTACGAACACCATCCGCACTTACGAACACCACCCGCACTTACGAACACCATCCGCACTTACGAACACCACCCGCACTTACGAACACCATCCGCACTTACGAACACCATCCGCACTTACGAACACCATCCGCACTTACGAACACCATCCGCACTTACGAACACCACCCGCACTTACGAACACCACCCGCACTTACGAACACCACCCGCACTTACGAACACCATCCGCACTTACGAACACCACCCGCACTTACGAACACCACTCGCACTTATGAACACCACCCGCACTTATGAACACCACCCGCACTTACGAACACCACCCGTACTTACGAACACCACCCGCACTTACGAACACCACCCGCACTTACGAACACCACTCGCACTTACGAACACCACCCTCACTTACGAACACCACCCTCACTTACGAACACCACCCGCACTTACGAACACCACCCACACTTACGAACACCACCCACACTTACGAACACCACCCTCACTTACGAACACCATCCGCACTTACGAACACCACTCACACTTACGAACACCACTCACACTTACGAACACCACCCTCACTTACGAACACCACTCGCACTTACGAACACCACTCACACTTACGAACACCACCCTCACTTACGAACACCATCCGCACTTACGAACACCACTCACACTTACGAACACCACTCACACTTACGAACACCACCCGTACTTACGAACACCATTCACACTTACGAACACCATTCACACTTACGAACACCACCCGCACTTACGAACACCATTCACACTTACGAACACCATTCACACTTACGAACACCACCCGCACTTACGAACACCACTCGCACTTACGAACACCATTCACACTTACGAACACCACCCGCACTTACGAACACCACTCGCACTTACGAACACCATTCACACTTACGAACACCATTCACACTTACGAACACCACCCGCACTTACGAACACCACCCGCACTTACGAACACCATTCACACTTACGAACACCACCCTCACTTACGATCACCATTCACACTTACGAACACCATTCACACTTACGAACACCACCCGCACTTACGAACACCACCCGCACTTACGAACACCATTCACACTTACGAACACCACCCGCACTTACGAACACCATTCACACTTACGAACACCACCCGCACTTACGAACACCATTCACACTTACGAACACCACCCGCACTTACGAACACCATTCACACTTACGAACACCACCCGCACTTAGGAACAACCGCGCTTACGAACACCCTGCACTTGTTAACACCACTCGTGCTTACAAACACCACCCGCACATACAAACAACACCCGCACTTACGAACATCACCCACACTTAAGAACACCCACGCCTACGAACACCCATACTTATGAACACCCACGCTTACGAACATCCACACTTACGAATTCCTGCACCTACGAACACCACTCGCCCTTACGAACACCCGCACTTATGAACACCTGCACATATGAACACCCACACTTATGAAAACTCTCACTGATGAACCAGCTTCCATGACATGTTTTTTGTTACATCAACTTTGCGAAGTCGCACCTGCAAACTGAACCACGTCACTATTTTGTTCAGTGGAGCGATCCTCTGTGAGATTTCATGAGTCACAGCCTCCCGCAGGGCGTGTTTATGTGTGTGTGTGCTCGTACACACGTGTGTGTGTGGTGTCCTGGGCTTCCACTAGGTGGACTCAGCTTCAAATGTGTACCTGGTGTGGTGACTAACAAACATCTCCACTGGCGAGTCATAGGTGTGGTGCTGGCCACCCACCCCTCACTCATTGCTTGCCCCTCCAGTCCGTTAAGGCTATACGGGGGGTCTTTGTCATTGTTGCCTGTCTTTGTATACGTGGGCGCGCGTGTCCCCGTGTGTGTGTCTGTGTGTGTGTGTCTCTTTGTGTGTGTGTCTCTGTGTGTCTGTGTGTGTGTCTGTGTGTGTGCAATTGTGGTTACTCATTGCACCCCTTCCGACAAGCAAACCAGCCCCCCCCCCCCCAAAATAAAACATGCTTCAAATCGCTTTAAACTATTGTCATTGTAGTGCGTATTTAATGTGGCGCTGCACTCTGATGTTGCAAGAGAAAACATTTATTAAAAAGTATTTTTAATTAAGTAGAACGTGTTGTCTGTATTTATTTAAAGTTGCGCATTTTGATGTGACGTCACATTTCTCAACCCCCCCTCCCCCCCTCGTCACACATCGTCACACATCGTCACAAATGTCTGACCCACCCCCCTAGCGGTGGTGCAGCGGTTAGCGCGCTGCGCTATGAACCTGGCAACCCGGGTTCGATTCCCGCTCACGGCCAACACCAGTGACGATTATCTGAACCGGTCCTGGCCTCCCCTAGGTCGACTCAGCCTTAAATAAGTACCTGGTGCGGTGTGTAACATTGCCACTGGGGAGACAAAGGGGGTCGGGCGTGGTGCTGGCCACCCACCCCGTCTTGTACCGTTCCGGCCTTCATAGGTGCTGCTCGCTAACAGCACTTGCCCCTACAGTCTGTTAAGGCTACACGGGGGATCTTTTATCTTTGTGTCTCGTGCAGGTCCTGTGCCTGGATTCCCTGTCGGCGGTCATGTATCTGACGGCGTTCATCACGGACGCAGCCTCGGTGCAGTTGGCAACGGGCGTTCCTTTCATCTACAACCGCTGGGCAGCTTCGACGGTAGAGGTCGCAGGCGACACGACCAGTCCCCTCGTCAGAGACAAAGGCAAAGATCTCCCAACGTGTAGCCTGTGGCAGACTGTCGGGAGCAAGTGCTGTTAGTGGCGACACGTTAACAGTTACATGCTAATTTCTCACATTAACATCATGCCAATTTCTCACATTAACATCATGCTAATCTCTCACGTTAATATATCCACTTAAGTGCCCTCTAATCTCTCACATTAACATCGTGCTAATCTCTCACATTAACATCACGCTAATATCTCACATTAACATCATGCTAATTTTTCACGTTAACATTATGCTAATTTCTCACATTAACATCATGCTAATTTCTCACATTAACATCATGCTAATTTCTCACATTAACATCATGTTAATCTCTGACATTAACATCATGCTAATCTCTCACATTAACATCATGCCAATTTCTCACATTAACATCATGCTAATCCTTCACGTTAACATTATGCTAATCTCTCACATTAACATATCCACTTACGTGCCCTCTAATTTCTCACATTAACATCATGCTAATTTCTCACATTAACATCATGCTAATCTCTCACGTTAACATCATGCTAATCTCTCACATTAACATCATGCTAATCTCTCACGTTAACATCATGCTAATCTCTCACATTAACATCACGCTAATCTCTCACATTAACATCATGCTAATCTCTCACGTTAACATCATGCTAATCTCTCACATTAACATCACGCTAATCTCTCACATTAACATCATGCTAATCTCTCACATTAACATCGTGCTAATCTCTCACATTAACATATCCACTTACGTGCCCTCTAATATCTCACATTAACATCACGCTAATATCTCACATTAACATCATGCTAATTTTTCACGTTAACATTATGCTAATTTCTCACATTAACATCATGCTAATTTCTCACATTAACATCATGCTAATTTCTCACATTAACATCACGCTAATCTCTCACATTAACATCATGCTAATCTCTCACATTAACATCATGCTAATCTCTCACATGAACATCATGCTAATCTCTCACATTAACATCACGCTAATCTCTCACATTAACATCATGCTAATCTCTCACATTAACATCATGCTAATCTCTCACATTAACATCATGCTAATCTCTCACATTAACATAACGCTAATCTCTCACATTAACATCACGCTAATCTCTCACATTAACATCATGCTAATTTCGCACATTAACATCACGCTAATCTCTCACATTAACATCATGCTAATTTCTCACATTAACATCATGCTAATCTCTCACATTAACATATCCACTTACGTGCCCTCTAATATCTCACATTAACATCACGCTAATCTCTCACATTAACATCGTGCTAATCTCTCACATTAACATATCCACTTACGTGCCCTCTAATATCTCACATTAACATCACGCTAATATCTCACATTAACATCATGCGAATTTTTCACGTTAACATTATGCTAATTTCTCACATTAACATCATGCTAATTTCTCACATTAACATCATGCTAATTTCTCACATTAACATCATGCTAATTTCTCACATTAACATCATGCTAATCTCTCACATTAACATCATGCTAATCTCTCACATTAACATCATGCTAATCTCTCACATTAACATCATGCTAATCTCTCACATTAACATCACGCTAATCTCTCACATTAACATAATGTTAATCTCTCACATTAACATCATGCTAATCTCTCACATTAACATCATGCTAATCTCTCACATTAACATCATGCTAATCTCTCACATTAACATCATGCTAATCTCTCACATTAACATCATGCTAATCTCTCACATTAACATCATGCTAATCCCTCACATTAACATATCCACTTACGTGCCCTCTAAATTCTCACATTAACATCATGCTAATTTCTCACATTAACATCATGCCAATTTCTCACATTAACATCATGCTGATCCTTCACATTAACATCATGCTAATTCTTCACATTAACATCATGCTAATCTCTCACATTAACATATCCACTTACGTGCCCTCTAATTTCTCACATTAACATCATGCTAATTTCTCACATTAACATCATGCCAATTTCTCACACTAACATCATGCTAATCTCTCACATTAACATCATGCTAATTTTTCACGTATACAGCATGCTAATTTTTCACATTAACATCATACTAATCTCTCACATTAACATCATGCTAATTTCTCATATTAACATCACGCTAATTTCTCACATTAACATCACGCTAATTTCTCACATTAACATCACGCTAATTTCTCACATTAACATCACGCTAATTTCTCACATTAACATCACGCTAATTTCTCACATTAACATCACGCTAATTTCTCACATTAACATCACGCTAATTTCTCACATTAACATCACGCTAATTTCTCAAATTAACATCATGCTAAAACGTCACAATATCATGCTAATCTCTCACATTAACATCATGCTAATCCCTCACATTAACATCATGCTAATCTCCCACATTAACATCATGCCAATCTCTCACATTAACATCACGCTAATATCTCACATTAACATCATGATAATCTCTCGCATTAACATCACTAGCCCCGGCCACTTCTTTATGACCCTTGGGCTAAACACCCATTTCAAACCTTTTTAATATTGTCTGTCTCAGCAGCAGAACCATGCTTTCCCACCTGATGATGGTCGCTTGTATTGCGCCCGAAACGTCGAGATTTATTTTATTTTATACCTACGTGACTTTACCGAAAGAACCAAAGAGTAGAGATGTTGACTACTTTGCCTGGTCTACAGGAGGGCGTGGGTTCGATCCCGACCCTGACGACACCTGCTGTATATATGGAGTTTGCGTCTCTCTCATCATCATCACGGTGGCTATGAGATGTTGACTACCTCGCCTTGTCTACAGGAGGTCGTGGGTTCGATCCCGACCCTGATGCCTGCTGCTGCTGTATATTTGGAGTCTGCGTGTCTCTCTCTCCCATCATCATCACGGTGGCTAGGAGATGTTAACTACCTCGCCTGGTGTACAGGAGGTCGTGGGTTTGATCCCGACCCTGACGCCTGCTGCTGTATATTTGGAGTCTGCGTCTCTCTCTCTCTCTCTCCACGTGGTCGCGTGGATCTTTCTCCGGGGCCTCCGGTTTTTTCACTCCACATTTAGAATCAACATCATGCATTTAGAGAGTATTCGGCTGCTATGAATGTCCACGTGATGATACTCCACTTCGTTGAACTATTGTGGCCAGCTCGCTTCTGATAAAGAGTGGTAAGTGGGCCTTCACTGATACAATAGAAATAGTATACTCTTAGGTTTTTTTCGGTAAAGTCATGTAGGTATGAAATAAATAATAAATAATAAATGCATTCACTCGTTCATTCTAACGCCCCCCCCTCCCCTCCCTCCCGTCATTCTAAAATACATTCCTGCGGAGGGAGCTGGTAGGAACGTCGGGTTGCTCGGTCAATGGCCTGCAGGGTCAACGGCGGCGTGGTGTATTCCGCAAATATGCCCGACTGTGAGGGCGGGCACAAGCCGGCGTGAGTAGGTTAAACGTTGAGTTATATAAGGGCACCACGGGGTGACCAGCCCCTCCCCACCCAGCCCCACCTCTCCCACCCCCCACCCAGCCCCACCCTCCCCACCCAGCGCCTCCCCACCCTCCCCACCAGCCCCTACCCACCCTCCCCACCCAGTTCCTCCCCACCCTCCCCTCCCCACCCAGCCCCACCCAGCCCCTCCCCTCCCTACCCAGCCCCTCCCTCCCCACCCAGCCCCTCCCTGCACGACGGACGAACGGACACAATAATCCCCTGTGGGCTGGTGTAACCAGGAGGTTCCTACCAGAAGGAGGGGGACCCATACTCACCCACCCACCCACCGAACTGACCCATTCACTCACTCCGCCTATTCATTGTAACGCTCTTTCACCCACCGCGCCCGTGCCTCGCAGTTCTTCGCCCTGCTCTGCACGTTGCTGTACGCGGCTGGCTCCTACCTGGGCTGGCTCGAGTGGAAGAGTGGAGGCGACTCGGGAGCCATAGGCAGCAGCAGTGGCCACGGCATCAGCGACGAGCCAGCACCATACCAGCAGTGACCAGGGGGCAGGAGGGGTGATGGTGATTGTTCCAGAGCCAGATGATGTGTGTGTGTGTGTGCTGTGTGTGCTGCGGTGATGATTTGTGATGTGTACTGTGCGCTCTGATGGTGTCTGCTGTGTGTGTGCTGTGTGTGCTGTCTGTGCTATGATGATGTGTGAGAATTGGGGGCAACGTTCATATACGGTGTTTTAACAACAGTTGTGACTTTCTTTTTTTTTCTTCCCGCTGGCATTGGGGCTCGTGCTCGAGCTAGTCTAGGGTTGGTGTTGGAGCCGGTGTTGGGGCAATGCTCTGGCTAGTGCTAGTGGTAGGGTGGGGCTAGGGTGGGTTAGGGCTAGTGCTAGGGGATGGATAGTGTTAGGGCTAGGTTAGGGCTAGTGCTAGGGTAGGGCTAGGTTTGGGCTAGTGCTAGGGTAGGGATAGTGTTAGGGCTAGGTTTGGGCTAGTGTTAGGGTAGGGCTAGGTTAGGGCTAGTGCTAGGGTAGGGCTAGGTTTGGGCTAGGAAGCACGTGTTGCACCATTATTGAGGCGCTATGTATCTTCTGACTTGTCGCCTGGCTCACAGGCCAATAGGGAGCAGCCGGGAGAGTGAGTGGGAGGTGGTTGACCTCAGGTAACCCCCCCCCCCTTAGTGCCCCGTGACAGGAGGTAGAGACCCCAGACCCCCAAGGGGTGGGGGCTGGGGGCTAAAGGTTCATTCCCGACCCTTCGAGATCCGTCTGGAAGGTTCGATGGAAGGTGTGGCTCGGGGCGGGGTAAGTCCCAACTCAATTCTAGATTTGAAGCTTTCGTAACGGCAAAGATGCATACTCTTTGTTTTTTTCGGTAAAGCCACGTCGGTAAAAAAAAAAAATCAAATCAATGAAAACAACGAAATTAAATTACGACGTTTCGGGCGCAACACAAGCGTCCTCCTTCAGGTGGGGACAACGTAGCGAAAGCACAAACCGCTTAAGTGTGTCTAAGAGATTGCTGTGACGAGGAAGCCCCAAATTGCGTATAAAATAAAAATTAATAAAAATAAAATAATAAAAATCACTTTTAAAATCTATTTCTATTTAATTTTTTACCTACGTGACTTTACCGAAAAAACTAAGAGCATGAATCCTTGCAGTCACGAAAGCTTCAAATCTAGAATTGTGTATTAAAGCCAGTCCACTCAAGACCCGAAGACATCATAAGACGAGACCAGCACCCTGGGGACCCTCAACCGAGGCTCTAGTAAGAGCCGGGTTGTAGCGGACCAGCGGTGGGACCAGTACCCTGGCGAGGTCGGGTCAGGCTAGCCTCCCCTAGCTCCCGTAGCGGAGGACCCGTGAGAACGTAGCCCTGAGTGTGTAGGGCCCCGCTAGAAGGTTATCGGGTGAAGGGGCCCTACCCCCGTAGTGCTACAGGGACCGTACCCCGTAGTGTTACAGCTATTGTTATCTTTGATCTGAATAAACGCGTTGCCTCTAAGAAGACGTCTCTTCGAAGTTTGAGCCCACAACACACACGTGATAAAAATTCCTGTGCGTTTTGGTATTTCTCGAAATTTCAAGATGTTACAACTTCAGTAGAAGTCGTAAAAAGGTTAAATATAAAAAATGTACTTTCATTGGAACACTGTTGCTATTCAAATGGAACCCATTCTTCACGTGTCACCCGTCATTGAAGGGATATAACGTTACACTTGTATACGCATTTGCACTTAAACAAGAGACACCCAGAGCCAGGATTCGAACTCTGTCTCTCAGTGTCTCAGGCTCTGTGTCTCTTGGCGTGGCCACTGTGAATCTCAATAGATGGAGACACCGAGACCCAGGGCTCGGACTCTGTCTCTCAGTGTCTCAGGCTCTGTGTCTCTTAACGTGGCCACTGTGGATCTCAATAGACGGAGACACCGAGACCCAGGGCTCGGACTCTCTCTCTCAGTGTCTCAGGCTCTGTGTCTCTTGACGTGGCCATTGTGAATCTCAATAGACGGAGAAACACCGAGACCCAGGGCTCGGACTCTGTCTCTCAGTGTCTCAGGCTCTGTGTCTCTTGGCGTGGCCACTGTGGATCTCAATAGACGGAGACACCGAGACCCAGGGCTCGGACTCTGTCTCTCAGTGTCTCAGGCTCTGTGTCTCTTGGCGTGGCCACTGTGGATTTTTATAGACGGAGACACCGAGACCCAGGGCTCGAACTCAGTTACGCAGTGTCTCAGGCTCTGTGTCTCTTGGCGTGGCCACTGTGGATTTTTATAGACGGAGACACCGAGACCCAGGGCTCGAACTCAGTTACGCAGTGTCTCAGTCATTGTGTCTCTTGGCGTGGCCACTGTGAATCTCAATAGACAGAGACACCCAGCCCCAGGTCTCGGACTCAGTCTGGCAGTGTCTCAGGATCTGTATCTCTTGACGTGGCCACTGTGGATCTCAATAGAGGGGAAACACCCAGAGCCAGGATTCGAACTCTGTCTCTCAGTGTCTCAGGCTCTGTGTCTCTTGGCATGGCCACTGTGGATCTTAATAGATGGGAAACACCGAGACCCAGGGCTCGGACTCTGTCTCTCAGTGTCTCAGGCTCTGTGTCTCTTGACGTGGCCACTGTGAATCTCAATAGATGGAGACACCGAGACCCAGGGCTCGAACTCAGTCTCTCAGTGTCTCAGGCTCTGTGTCTCTTGACGTGGCCATTGTGAATCTCAATAGACGGAGAAACACCGAGACCCAGGGCTCGAACTCAGTCTCTCAGTGTCTCAGGCTCTGTTGCTCTTGACGTGGTCACTGTGGATTTTAATAGACGGAGACACCCAGAGCCAGGGCTCGAACCCAGACCATGGACTCGTCACAGTGGTTCTCAGTCATAAAGTACGCGGACTCGCTGGGGGTATACGGCTTTGGTACGTACCAAAGCCGTAATTATGATAATTATAATAAATATTGGGGGGGGACACATCCCCCCCCAATATTCAAATATGCTCAAAATGCCCCCCCCCCCAATATATTGCTATAAAAATACTGTCTATGCTATGTAAATAAAAACAACAATTTGCTAAACCTTGGCTACAATATCTGGACTCGTCTTCATATAAATCAATGCATAGATTTGTGTTTATATGATTGTGGTTATGGTTGTTCTTTATTAATCCCTCATCTCTGCCATTACATACAATGAAACAAGAAATGGTTAAAAAATATAAAAACAGAGCCATGTAATACAATACACTATTAGACATTATTGTAAAAAATTGATGAAAAGTCCATCCCATGTGTTAGTGAATTTTTTTTTATTTTAGGCAGGAAATGAGTTTTCAAATTTAGATTTTTTTTGGGTTGGGACCCCCAGACCCCCTGGAAGATTTGGTCCCCCCCCAATGTTGACTCCATGGCTACCGCCTTGCGCAACGCGCCAGAGGTCACAAACGGGTTTTGATTCCTTACCCGTACCCGGCCGCACCAGGGTCGCAAACGGGTACCCGTATCCGTACCCGGCCGTACCCGTACTCTACCCGTACCCGGCCGGGTACGGGTAGGGTACGGGTATCGGGTACCTGATTGCGACCTCTGGGATGAAGCCATGTTGCAGGCGCGGGTGGGTTGATTCTAGGAACTTGAATTGTGAGAAGAGACAAGACGTCGGGAAATGAGTGACAAACGGTGACTCACCAGTGACTCACGGCCTACCCGTACCCGGCCGCACCAGGGTCGCAAACGGGTACCCGTGCCCGGCCGGATACGGGTAGCCGGGTATCGGGTAGGGTACGGGTATCGGGTACCCGGTTGCGACCTCTGCAACGCGCTGTACTCGATGAGCAGTGTCAGCGAGATGAGCTCATGGGAGTGCGCGTCGCTGAGTTACCCTTGGGACCCAGGCACGCGAAGATCATCCTTGAACCAGGTGCCGAGTCTGGTCTCGTGTTTTGAAATGTGTCATCGTCCCTATTGAGGCCCTGAGCGAAGTTGTGAAACGAAGAAATGTATTTGTGGAAATCGCACCACAGCCAGCAAAATCTTGCACTTCCTCTGCACTGG